GTTATGCAAATCTTCCCACATTGTGACGTAGACATGTGGGGGCGTGTTTAAACGAGGCATTTTAGGAGGGCTTGGACAAGTCTTAAACCCAAAGAGATATTCTTTATAAAAGTTAAGACTTTAGTCTTTGCAACTTTAGGGATCTTATCTATTCACGAACCGCTTGTAACACTCCAAAGAGAAAGGAAAACTTGAAATTGCATCATATGACCCCTTTAAATATATACGTGTGTGTGTGTATAAATGTGTACAGTACATACTCGTCATGTAAACAACATTAAACAACATATTAAAGATACAAACGAACACATTTTCATCTGTGAAAATAGTCCCACATCTTTGGTAATTTACATGTCAGCGGTTTTTATCTATGGATTACACAGTCTGTGTATATATATATATATATATTCAGGAACATTGGCATGCGAAAGATATGAGATATCAGTCCTAGATATGAGAATTGGAGAAAAAAATTCTGGTTTATGTGCAGTAACAAAGCCTAAGAGTGTTATTGAGCGGAGTGCTAATGTAGTGTTAAATGCTCATGTGCTGGTGTGTGTTTTGACGTCTGTCCCTCTTATGATGTCTTCAGTACTCACAGAAAGAAGACAAATACGAGGAGGAGATCAAGGTCCTCACTGACAAACTAAAGGAGGTATGAACATCTTTCATGATATTTAGTCATCCTTCTGTCCAGGGGAGGCAAGTATATCAAGTCTTGTATCACTATATGAATAGTTTTAGATCACTGTTACTGTGTATATTTCACACACAATAATAACTTATCTGATTAGATTTTTTCTCCACCAGTTCTGGGCATTTAAATACTTTTTTTAGCTACAAATGACTGTCCCAGCAGTCTCAATGATTTATTTCTGCTGCAGGCCGAGACCCGTGCCGAGTTCTCTGAGAGGTCAGTCACCAAGCTTGAGAAGACCATTGATGACCTTGAAGGTACGACTTTCGTTCATTCGAGTCATTTCAGCCCCTGTCAAATTTTCATTCATACGTGTGATTGTGAAGTATTCAGAGCGACTACTCCTTTCGCTTCAGGTCATAAAGCTTTCAGCCTTTTTATTTATTTTTTTTACCGTCATTCTGTTCCTCAAACCTTCTGCCCTACTGGCCTTCTTTCAGCTTCCTTATCGGTTCAGTCGCACAATTAAGCATCACCTCTTTCGGAGAGACCAGTCATTGTGCAGATCCACACACACAGACTTCACATTGTTTTGTAAGATGACACTCGTGTTACTGAGGTCCAATTACACGCAGCATTTAAACTTGATTAGGCTTTTATAAGCTGCTGTTAAATAGTCTTCTCCTGTTCTGCACGTATTTGGATTTACACAAGCCCAAGTTCATTTTCATAACTGTACCGCCGTATTTGCACTTTGTTAATGTATCTGTGATAATTCAATATCCCGGTCAGAGAGGCATCAGTAAGAACCTTAACGGGGATAGTTTATCCAAAAATGAAAACTGTTATTTATTTGCGTTCATGTCGAACCTGTTTTATTTAATTTATTTCTGTGGAACAAACACAGATAGTTCACACATGAATTCCCTGAGTGCTCCCTTCCCATAATAGGAACTGAAAATTAGTCCCAAAATGACAATAAAAGCACCATGAAGGAATATTTACACAACTGTTTAAGTATTTTTTTTTTTTTTTTTTTTCCACGTAAGAAATGGTTTTATTCATAGAGGACGCATTAAATTGATCAAAAGTTACAGTACAGATTTGTTACAAGAGATTTCTGTTTTACATAAATGCTGTTTCTATTCTTTAAAGAATCCTGAAAAAAATGCATTACGGGTTCCAGAAAAATAAGCAGCATAACTGCTTTCTAAGTCGATAATGTTTTTGCGCAGAAAATCAGTATAGAGTGATTTCTGAAGGATCATGTGACACTGAAGACTGGAGTAATGAAGCTGAAAATTCAGCTTTGCATTACAAGAATAAATTACATTTTAAAATATATTCAAATAGAAAACAGTTATTTTAAATTATAATAATATTTCACGATTTTTCTGTATTTTTGATCAAATAAATGCAGCTTTGGTGAACAGACTTATTTCAAAAATATTTTTACATTTAAAGTGCATTTATTTCATATTATTGGTATGTGTTAAAACACAACCTGACAAAGTACTGTAAAAGTAGTCCGTAGCTATGTTTCCATCCAAAGTTACGAAATAAACTTGTGCGCAAAATTGGAATATCGCATAAAACATTTGCGAATAAAGCACGGTTTCCATCCAGTGAGTTGAAGAGTACAAAAGCGTCACTTCCTGATTAACTTAAATATCACGAAGAGAAATTTAATTTGCTGCATTAGGAGAAGGCACTGTTTATAATAATTTATTACAATAAATTACGAGCTTCAGAGCGCACAGATGAAGCATGGTCATGTAATCTTATTTTCGGAGCCTGCTGTTTGGGAACGCAGTGCTTGAAGTTAATTATAACGAAGCACTTTGACGAGACTTTGCCCAAGCATTTTAGAATGACAAAACTAGCATCTCAGACGCTGTGCAATGAGATCAGTCCATTGGTCGGTCCAGGTATGCTGTCCCATCGCAAAGTCACATGATGCGCATGAAGGAATTTATTTGGTAAAATTGTTTCCATCGATTTTATGTGCATGTTTTCTTACCGGATAAGAAAATTATCCTACTTATTTGAGCGCGTAAGTTTGTTTATTTATTTATTTTTAAATGCGCATCTTGGCGTTTCCATCCAAAATACGCATAAAAATAGGTGGATGGAAACATAGCTAATGACTTTTGCACTATATAAAAAGTATATAAAATATTAAAAACATGAAGGTTTGACAAATGACTAGAAACACAGAAACCAGTGGCACCTGGAATGACATCTAGAAAAGCCATAATGAGTTAAATGAGATTTAAAAGCTTCAACAGGTGGGAAAAGTGCATTCTGGGCATTTTGCTGACATTGTTTTCCACTGAAGAATTAAAGTCCTACAGGTTTTAAATGAATGACATGAGTGAATAAATCATGACAGAATTCATTTAACATCTCGTTAAGTGACCTGTGAGCAACCCTGTTTGGGGTTTCACGGTGACTCTGACGAATTTGTCATGGTCTTTGCCTTGTTTCAGTTCCTTTCCATTCCTCCTTAACTTTATTTTCTGTTTTCCCTCCTCTCTCTCTCTCTCTCTCTCTCTCTCTCTCTCTCTCGCTCTCGCTCTCGCTCTGTCTTCACGTCACTCTCTCGCTGTCTGTCACTCGGTTCACCGGGGCTCGTCTTGCCACTGGATTGGATGCTTCACTCCTGCACCTGTTTTTATCCCTTCCCTCCACCTCTTACTCTGTCTCCCCTCCATCAAACACACCGTCCCGAATCCCGATAGATGAGTTGTATTCCCAGAAACTCAAGTACAAAGCCATCAGCGAGGAGCTGGACCACGCTCTCAACGACATGACTTCAATGTAATTCATCTGCGGTCTCTGCCTGTGCCTGTGCCCCTCCCCCATTACCCATAATCCCCCTCTCACCCTCTCTGAATAAGGTCTTGTATCATCAGTTCACACACTATATGACTCATTCTTCTGTTTAAAAACTCTATCTCTAACTCTACAATGCTTATGGTTCCTGTACTGTTATTTGAGGTATTTGAAGTATTTGCTTATTGCAAATTTGTCCATGGGTGTTAATGTTAAGGCCATGGCTTGTAGAGTCAGTGTATAGGAGTTTTGTGATTGGAATTCATAACTATTGTATTACTTCATTTGAAATAATATTGTGAGAAAACAAAACTCCTAACTCTCAAATGTTTCATTCAATTGTTGCTGGTCAGTACTAGGTCTGGGTGATATAGCTTTAAAAGTTAGTTTATTTATATTTTGTTATATAAATGTAAAATTAAAATCTTTGTAAAACATTAAATTAAATATATAAACATTACTTCAACATATGCTGATAACGGTATAAAGCTAACTGTTTTAATTTATTCCCTTAATATTTCTCTTGTGGCCCGTACATGGTTAAAAAAAAATTAGAAGAAACGTATTTGGTGTTAAACAGGTTGTTTTTGAAAGTCGGCACTTTAAATAGGCTAAATTAAGCTTTTTATTTCATTGATTTTTATTTATGACTGCAGTGTTAATATTTTAATTATAGGCCTATAATTAATTGTATAATAGACCTGTTTTAAAAGACCTTTTTTAAAACATTTTAATTGAGGAGCAAATAGCCTTATCTTTTGTTATCCTCGCAGCGTGTCAGTTATGTGGTAATAAAAATAAGAATGTAACAGGGCTACATTAATTGAAAATGCCAAATCCTCTTAATATTGCCAATAGTTGATGTTTTTGACAATATCTCTGGCTATCGTCGATACAAGATCCTCGTCTTTCGACGCACCCCAGCACTTTTAAGCTCCTTCATTTTCCAAATGTAATAGGATTAGTCCAACGAATCGTTCAGTTTGTAATGCGTACCGAACCGAAAGCCTCGTACCGAATGGTTCAATACGTGTATTGTTACACCGTGTGTGTGTGTATGTATACATGCAATTATTTTTCACGATTTTTCTCTATTTTTGATCAAATAAATGCAGCCTCAGTGAACATGGGAATTTCAAAAACAATAAAAAAATCTTACCAACCCCAAACCTAAAAGGTAAAGTGTAAATTAACAAACAGGGATTTAGTCCGTTAACCATCTTTAAAAATGTTAACAATATTCAGGATATTGGTTAATTTTAAAACACAATAATATAGAAAGATGGACTATATCACCCAGCCTACTGGCAGTACTGGGAAGTCTTAACCCCAAAGCATGTGATACAGTCAGAAATGCACCACGGTTTTACAGTGGGAAGCGTTTCATGCTCCGTGACTTCCTGTGTGTGGTGTTTCTTCTCCTTTGGTGTAAATTCATCTACTAACAAGGTCTTCTTCTGTTCAGAAGACAGGCCCAAAGCCTGCCATGTAGAGATCTACATCTCTGATCCCATCTGTCCACATCACGTATGATGTTGTCTCATATGTCGTAGTTGTTTAGGAGCGTGAGCTGCTTGGTAAGTCAGCCGTGTGGTGGTTTGGCTCCCCTCTATGGCTGTTCAGCATTAGTGTTAGCCGGAGACGTTTCTGATATACGAGATTAATGGAGACTCTGTATAATAAGCACCCCCCCCCCCGCGCAGATAAATTGTTCATCGAAGATGCGTCCCGCCGGCTGAATGACTTCACTCTGCTCTTTCCAGCCTTTCTTTTCCTCTCATCCCTCTACATTGTGTTTTGTTCTCCATCTCTTCTTGTACAGAACCTTTAATTCTTTCAGCTTCATGTAAAACTATGTAAACGTCTCATTTTTGTTCTTTATTTCCTTTTCATTTCTATGTGCTTTTATTGCTGTGGCTCAAATAAAGTCAGAAGCACTGGTAGAAGTCCTGGGTTTCTTCTATGGTTATTGTATGAGCTCTTGTTCGTTAAGTGTTTAATAAAGGCGATCTTTTCATGTGGGGAACGTTCCTAAAGCACTGCGTGTTGGCTTCCCCATATTTACATGTTAGGCAAATTCATCCTCTCCTACTATTCAAATTTCTGTGGCTTTTTAATCAGGTTTTCTCAGGGAAGTAGATGACGGTCAATTCTGTTCTAACGTCTCTTCATTAAACCGCATGATTACCTGTCATTTATAAGCTGTGCTAGTAGTAAAGTTCCTGTGGTGATAAACCTATTCTCTCTGTTTGAGAATAGCTAGCATCATCACTAATAGTTAGGGTTGTGGTTTTAAACAAACCACTAACAGAATATGAAATAAGTATTCAACTCCACTGAAAATGAATCATATGTCAAATAGTACTGCGTGTTGAGGAGAGATCTCATAGACTTGCATTACGAGAGCGGATCTGAGCCGTGTCTGTGAGGATGTTATGTCTAATAGAGAGAGCACCCTAGCAACAGTTTCTTCAGAAAATGTAAAAGTTACATTTTTTATATTATGGAATAACACCAGATCCTATTATTATTACATAATCTGAGTAAATTGTTGCTATAATGGTGTTTTAAAACCAATTCCCCACATTTTACTGTAGGAGAACAGTGTTGCAATTGATATCTAAAAAATAATGTAACATTTTTAAAGCCGTAAAATGTGTATGTAAATTTGATATTTAACGTTTTTATTTTATTTTAAGTGCTTTGAGTATTTAAAGTTCAAATGCATGTTGTCACTAGTGAGAACAGATGACTATTTTTGTTTTCTCAAAGTCAGCTCTAGCTGTTAATCTTCTGTTTACATATTCTACGAAGGCATTAGAATTCAAATCCAAGTACAGTGAATGTCATTCCAATGCTAGTTAGGGATCTACAATAAGGGTTTTTTCTTCTGCTTGCTTTGTGGCATGAAAAATAATTATATTATGATTTATACATTATAATTAGTAATTTATAAAGTAATTTACTTTCATTTACATATATTAATTTTTAATTTACATAAAATTTTAAGCTCTATTTTTTTTATAATAGCTGAAGTTCTGTAATATAGGTATAATGTAACTGAAAAGGATTGCATACAGTGATTGCATACTTCCTTAGATTAATGATTTGTTCAACATTTCCAAGACTGTCAAGTAATTTGCCGCACACACCACACTGTATGACTTGTTACACTGGGCCGTTCTTATTGTTGAGCTCTGCTGGTGAGTATATGAGCTCTGTGTCCTTCTGTCTGATCCATCTGAATCACCTCCTCCAGGTTGGTTTGAGTCTGAATGAAACGCTACTAACCTGCAGCTGTTCTCATTTCTTCTTCACTCTGTTCTTTCTGTGTTTCTCTCTTTCTCTCGTCTTAACCTGCTGCCGCTCCTGTAGACCATCTCTACCAGCAACTCGAGAAAAACCGCCATCTCTCTAATGAGCTAAGAATGGCCTTGAATGAGGACTAAAACTAGTGTGGACTTTGTTTGGTTCTTATCGCCAAATGGTGTCTAAAATGAATGCTGTTGTGAATGAAAGTTCAAGGAACGTGTTTTTGTAACAAAGTTACACTTGCTGCCTTCAAGTCATGTTGGAAAGATGATAATTGCGAGCTGAGATTTACCACAAAATAACATTGTTTGTATGTTGCATTTTGTTCACTATTGAATTTTTATTTCATTATTTAAAATTAACTATTTAGTTTAAATACTTCAAATGTTTATTAAATTGTTTTTCTTTGCCGTTCCAAAAAACTGTTCAAGAAAAAATAAATGGCCAACCTTTTTATATTAATTTAAATATTTAAACTATAGTATTACATGTATAATTTAATATACTGCTATTTAAATATTTAAACTATATATTATAAATTTAATATAATTTAGAAATGTAAACATTAAATTCTGTTAAAAATATTGTGATTTTTTTTTTCTTTGCTTTTCATTGTTTAAAAAAATCCTTTGTTCTGTACATAATTTTTATATATATATATATATATATATAATTAGTGCTGTCAAACGATTAATCGTGATTAATCGCATCGAAAATAAGTTCGTTTACATAATGTGTGTGTACTGTGTATATTTATTATGTATATATAAAGAGACACATAAGCATATATTTGGAAAATATTTACTTATATTTACGTGTATATATTTATATTCATATAAATAATGTCATAAAATATATTTAATATTTAAACGTAACATGTTTTTCTTAAATATACATGCGCGCGCGTGTGTGTGTGTATTTATATATACATAATAAATATACACCGTATGAACACACATTATGTAAACAAACTTATTTTGGATGCGAGTAATCGTTTGACAGCACATATAATTTTTCCGATACATTATATAAATCACTTTTCCTATGCTCTTAATTGTCAAGAAAAAAAAACGTCCTGACTTTGTTCATACTTTATATTTAATAGTATTTTTAATGTATTAAAAAAAATTATTAGTATACATTATTTAAATTCTAATTTATCCTTTGCTCTGAATTATGTCGGGAAAAGACAAGAGAAAAAACACCCTGTTCAGTGAAAGAGAAATTGACCAGTGCATCTATTTTATTGCAAACCAAAATCAATAAAATGCCATTTCCGAACTCATCCCAGATCTTGAAGGCAGCATGTGGATAATGTATGGCTAGCACTTTAATCAGGATGTCATCTAATGCCTTTTGCTTTATGCAAGAGTCAGCACTCTTTTACTGTGTCCGTCATAAATTTATATATTAACACATGTATATCACTATAGTGTATCTCAGTTATGGATATTTATATGAAAGCATGAACAGAGCGTGTGAACTATGTATGTTCAATGCTCAAGGCATCCACTGCATGTTATTCCCTACATGCTTTGCACTGATATTAACGTGTCTTTCACTTGATGTTCTAACAGAGAAACTCTCACATGCTAAAGAAGAGAACCTCGATATGAACCAGATGTTGGAACAGACTCTATTGGAGCTGAATAACATGTGAATCCTGCTCACGTAATCATGACGATGTCTGCATTTTGTCTTTTTTTTTTTTTTTTTTCATCCTGACAATTATCAGATTGAGTAACATGTGCCATTTGTTACAAAAGCTTTAGTTTTCCTTGTATTTTATTTTATTTTTATGTAATATTATGGTACATGTTTGTTTTATTCTTTTTTTTTTTTTTTTCCTGACAGTTATCAGATTGAATAACATGTGCCATTTGTTACAAAAAGCTTTAGTCTACCTTGTATTTTATTTTATGTAATAATATGGTACGTGTTTGTTTTTATTCTGGTTGTGCACAAAGTTAGCAACAATTGCACTTAATTCAATATATGCACATAACGGTTCTAGTGGACACGTCGAGTCTGAAGCCAAGCTGAATTATAATTGAGCGGGGTTTTATTTTCTTTTTTATCG